ACCACATAAAGCAAAATACATATTGCAAAAGGCGGTATCATGAACCGGCTGATCATCAACAGTTACACAAGCAAAGTACAGCTAAGCCACGACAACTGTTTCACTATCGGGGATAAAGAAAGTATTCGTTATTCAAAAAATCGACCGCAATCTTTCTTCTGTATATTGACATTCTCTCTGCTGAAACTGATTCTATTGGATGCCCGAGAATGAAGCATTCTATAAACTTGAGTACAAACATTATGGAATTTGGCCTGTACAATAAATGATTTTTCATTAGTCGAAATTAGTATATACAATAGATTAACTACGGTAGTAAATAACAAGAGTTGAAATGCTCACCCATTGTTCGCACACGGTAGATAAGGTATAATCTCCATCTTCATTGGATCATTTATATGTTTCTTTATATCTCGTCTGGTGGACAGAGGTTCACACTGCAATAATGTTTGAACGACTGTGCATGTTGCTTCTGCGTGAGCCTTGATTGCATCACGTGTGTGAACATTATTGCTGCAGTCATATATGTAGAATTTTCATTCACGAATATTGACCAGAAACAGATAACATTCATTGCCTGGATATGCACTTGGAATTAATAAATACTTGCATCCCATCCACGAACGACCAGCTATAGGCAATGTACCGTTGACATAGTCTTGTAGGCGAGTTCCATCTGATTCACTTGTCTGGTTATATTCCATGTGCCACCTCATTTGCTGACAACACTCCTCTTCAAATTGAAAATCCAAAATTGCATATTTTTTATTGACGAGAGTACAATCTTCATTCATACGCTGCCTCAATAACTTCAGCTCCAACTCAATATGCTAATGCAATAAATATATGTAACATATATTATACATATTAACTACGAAATTAAATTTATTGTGATTGCAAACCTTCACTCACCGTAATATTCAGATCCTTCGTCGGATCCATTAAACTTTTTAGCATGTCTCTTCCATAGACATTGCCACGGCTATCGTCCAAATATGCACTGTATAACATAATTTAAATTACTGTCAAATAATTTAACAAATAATTTTTCACATAGATATAATAATGTGTAGCATTCGAACTATTCAGAATGAGTTACATTTGTTACCCAGATTGATTTCTCGATATCCAATTCTTAATGTCTTTGTACTTGTTCATGTCATAGTCTTCTAAGGGACGGCCTGTGGATGATGAAGTCTGTGTGTATTTCATCTTCTTTTCCCTTTCTCTTCTCCGCATGTCAACACTTTCTGCTGGTTGAGACGTCGATGTCTCATGCGGTTGAACAGTAGGAGTTGGACTTGCATGGAGAGGAACATCCTGCTGCATGGAACCTATAATGGCTTCCATGTTGGATTCCCAGTTAGATAATCTGTTTAGCATATTCTCATTCTTTTCGTCAATGTAAGATCTGACAGAACATAAACTTGTATCAATATAAGACTGTATGTGCTCCTGGTGCTGCTGGAATAATTCTTCTTGTTTTCGAAGAATCGCCTGATAATGGGCTTCTTGTTGTTGCGATTCCTGGGCCATATGAGTGCTAAACATATTTGATAGAGAATTACCCATGTATGACTGCATACCATATAGCATGTAATCTTGCATCGATTTGTTATGTTGTTCGAACAGTTGCTTTTGGCTTTCAAGGATATCCTGGTTCAGGGCTCTGGATTCTTCAACAAATTCTGCCTTCAAGTTGTCACACAGGCTGGATACATCTGATATCGTATGTTGCCTGTACATACCCAACATTTCTTCCATTCAATCTTCAGTTACATATCTGGAGGCACCAGAAGCAGAACTAGGCCCAACTCCAGTTGAAGTTCTCGATGTGCCACGACTGGTCGTTTCTTGCACACGAATGTTATCCGGTATTTGTGGTACTACATTATCTACTTCTCCAGTGACAATGACATCTAATATATTATGTTCATCGTCAGCCGGCAGAGAAAGATTTGTGTACCAAGGTGTTTGTAATTCTTCCTCTGTAGGCTGCAACACTGCAATGACTTCGATCTGTAATCATAACAAACTATCATAATCCATTTGTTTAATTGAACTTATTAATAATAAAATGCGAATGTCATTGTACGTTGAAAATAAAAAATTCATACATCTTGAGTATCCAAAAATTGCTTAACAACCGATTCCTTCAGTATATTATTAGGCCTCCAATTATAGATTCGTGGAATCTGCACCGTTCTATGTTTACGGCGACCAAACTTTTGTCCAATTTGTGGAAACGCTTCATATATCCAATACTGCAACGTAAAAAAAGAGAAATGTGATGTATAAATTTTATTCTTTGTACAAAGAAATTATACATAATACGTAAGTAATTAGAATAGGAACATAATACCTGAAATGCGAGTGGATAACCTTGTAATGCATACTTACATTCTGTCTGTCCATTCTGTTGCATCCTTATTATTCTTTTCAATTGTGACTCTTTCAAAGAATTTAACAAAACGAAATATGCTATTTGGCCCCACGGATATGTAAGGAACTCATCCAGATGTTCAACCATGCCCAGAGTTCTATAATCAACTTGTCGTGAGTCGGTTTCAACACACACTCAACCAACATAACTAATCCCAACTTAAATTTATCTTCTGTATCTTCACACATGTGGAAAGTTTCAAAAAGCATCCTATTGCTAATTTTTTTTGTGCCATTGAAGTATTGATTTCTAAGACGATGGTTATTATAATCAATTTCTACGGATGGTTCATGGCAAGGTAGTCCAGTAATGAAGCAAAATTCTTGCAAGCCAAACTTAGCAAGATGGTCATCTAACCGTACCCAAACTTCATTGTTTTTTGCCACAATGCACAAGTCTCATTATAAATTCATGTACCAACTTGCTAGTAAATTGTTCTTCGTCTCCTTTGAAAACAGCTCCATATATAAATCCATAAAAATTACTACACATCAAATAACATTGTTGATTTGTATCTATGAAATTTATAAAATCTTGAACGTATTGACGATTTGGATACTGAAGAATGGTAGCAGAAAACCATTGTTCCGGAGAGAGAACGTATTCTAAAGACATCTGCATCAATTATACAAGAATTAATATTTTTAAGGAACTGTAATAATTTTTTCAAGAATTTATATTTTCATTTGATTGTACACATCTATTATAGTAAAACAAATTACTGTTAATTGTACAATTAATTATTTAAGAATTAATATTTCCAAACAAATATAATTTTTTTCACGTCTTTATACTAAACAAAATTAAAATCAAAAATTAATATTTTAAACAAAATGTGATATTTTTATTTATAAAACATATTACAAAAAAAAAAAATTCTGCTAGAGAGTGTCACGGAGCAAGCTCATATTACTCTAAAAAAAAAAAAAATCTACAAGAGAGTGTCACTCTCTAAAAAAAAAAAAAAAATTCTGCAAGAGAGTGTCACTCTCTAAAAAGAAAATAAATAAATTTTGCAAAAGAGTGTCACGAAGCACTTGCAAATTTTTTTTTTTTTTTTTAAGAGAGTGACACTCTCTTGCACAAAATTTCTTCAAGAGAGTGTCACGGAGCAGCTCCGTGACACTCTCTTAATAAAAAATATATATATATATTCTGCTAATATTTAATAGTAATAATAAAAAAAAAATTTTGCTAGAGAGTGTAACGGAGCAGCTGCTCCGTGACACTCTCATATTACAAAAAATAAAATAAAATAAATAAAAAATAAAAAAAAATTCTGCTAGAGAGTGTCACGGAGAGCAGCTCTCTCCGTGTCACGGAGAAACGATCTCCGTGACACGGAGATCAAGTTTTTTCGAGTAAATTGTAGTTGAAAAATATTTTTCTTTCAAGATATTCAACTAACTGCTAAGTAGCACAAATATTAAATACAAATTTTGAATTACTTACCTTTTCTGATCAAATTAGCGTCTTTTTTGAGTGAATGTGGAAAATGTTTCCGGCTAAATGAATGTGAAAATGAAACTTGAATTAAAATGTGAAGAGAGTGAGTGAAGGAGAGTGAGTGAATGTGAGAAATAATTGTAGTTAAATGTGTGGATGGGGGAGCGAATGAGAAGTAGCTAAAATTAATTAAAACGTGTGAAGAGTGAGTGAATGTGACAAATAATTGTAGGTAAATGTGTGGATGGGAGAGTGAATGTGAGGATAATGAGTGAACGAGAAAAAGTAAATTTCATAACCATTTTGTTGTGTTACAATAATTGATCATAAGCAAATTTTCCTGTTCTAGTTCTCACTCTATTTTGGGGACCCTCCTTCACTATCTTTCCCTTTGTTTCCATATATATATATATATATATATATATCAGTGGTTTTTTTAAACTTTCTTGTGTTGTAATTTGACAAATTATAAATTTCTTTTTAATTCATTTTGTTCCATTCAAATTTTATATTCACAAAAAAAAAAATATTAACGTTTTGTACAATTCAAATTTATATTAAAAAAAATGTTCGATTTTCTTTAATTTATTAAAACTGATCGAGTTAATCAATGTTTCCTCACTAACTGCTAAGTAGCACAAAATTTATTTTATTTCCACATACATGATCACACAAAATGACACGTATGTTCACATTTTATTGAAAACAAAAATATAAGGGACGTTAACATTTATATTGAAACAACATATTTCTTGACATTTCACTCATTTCTTGACATTTGACGTGTAGTTCTCGACATTAAATGTCTGCTAATCTGGACACTTGACAGTACATTTGTATAGAACGACATTTCAACTAAAATATAGGATTTCTCCACATTTCATTAGAACATTGACATCTCCTACTCCACTATATGAGATAATAAAGTTATAAACTATTTTCAACCACCGGTTTACATCCACAAAATATTACATATCACCATATAAATAAAAATATGCAAACCACTATCTAAACCAAAATACATTTTCCGTACCACGACATAAACCAAAATACATATTGAAAAACCACCATATAAATCAACATAGGTAAACCTCTAAATTCTACGCATCCCTCTTACCCCTATTGCGACCAGATCGTGTGTATGGCGTCTTTGTGTTTACACTAGCCTTCTTCAGCCTCAACGATCGAGGTCTACGTGTAGGTGGATCAGCCGCCATCGAAGGTCCAGAAACGATACTATCATGAACCAGTTGATCATCAATGGTCACACCAACTGTAGGTACAACGGCTGGTGCCTCTTTCACAATATCACAAGCAACATATATTGACCCAAGTACTCCAACCCCACCTCCTGACGTTATGGACACATCAGGGATATTGCAAACAACTGGTTCAGTTGCCTCTCCGACATCCTGTCTGTCTGCAAAAATATTGGGAGTGAAAACATCATGTCGGGGCTCGTCTCCACTGCGATCGTCATGACCAAATCCACCATACTCATCACCAACATTGTGTTGTCCAATTTCTGTAGCAACTTCATCAAACCTTCGTCGAAGAACATTCATCTCATCAGTGACATGATTTCTCAAACCACACACATGACCTCCCAGATCATTTTGGAGACTAGCGAATCTTGTGTTTATTTCTTTCCTCAAATCCCCCATCTTGCTCTCAAATGCCTCCAGTTGCTCATTCAAGATAACTCTGATCTCATTTAAAGACACATGTCTTTCAACGATGGGATCCCCATGCTCTTCTTCTCTGCCTTCAACCAGATGCAAACCTCGATGACGAGGTCCACCTTTGTTGCCTCTCTGGGATTTATTTGGTCGATGGTTATTGTCATCGTTCCGTATGATATCATCGTCAACTGGACAAGCTTGTATTTCTATTGATTGAGCAACAAGATCATCTAAAATGGGGTCGGCTGCGTCTTCCAATGGAACTAGATTGACGAAGTACGGCTGTAATTCTTCTGCAACAGTTGCTCGCAGCGTTGTCCACAAGTGCACCTACAGGAGAAGAAAAATAGGCGAAATGAAAAAATATATATTGCGGAGTGTAAGGCAATTAAGTATGTAAATCGCCTACATTTGTCTTCTCAAAAAAATCTGAATATGTTCGGGAATGAGGTTGTTTCATGCCAGACCACCGCAACATCCTCGGGACATCGTCACAAGTCTTACTTGAGAATCGAGCTCCCAACTCCGGAATTGCCTCGTACGTCCAAATCTGCATGACATTTGTAACAGTAATAACCATATTTGGAGATAAATAACAATGAGCGATGAGAAGAACTGAAATGAACCAAAATAGATGTATACCTAGACAGCAAGAGGGAATCCGTACAATGTGTAAGTCATCCTATCACAATCATTCACTTTTACCATGTCCGCCTTTCTTCCCCATCCACGTAGTAGTGATTTGATGAGAAGTTGAAAACATACTGTCCCCCATAGGTAGGCATTGAAAAAATCCAAGTCGTCAACGATGGAAAGAGTTGTCGAATTTATTCCTACATTTCGATCTCTTGAATTAAATACCCCTTCAATAATTAGTGCCAACCCAAGCTTGTAACGATCGTTACGGTTGGCACATTTCAAAAAAGCTTTCTCCAGGTTGCTACACGTTATCCTGTCCATATTAGCAAACATTTTATCTTGTAGACGGGTTTTCTCTAGGATTTTGTCAACTTCGACACCTTTAGGCACTGGACTGCACTTCAAGCCAGTAATTAGTGCGAACTCCGGTAGTCCAAATCGTGCAAACCTTTGGTTCACCTTGAACCAAGCCTCAAACCGCTTTCGGCATACCACCGATCTGTTTACCATTTCATGAATTAATTGAGCAGATAGTTTCAGCTCCGGTAACCTTGCAACATGTCCTATACAACTGTCCTCCAACTGACGCTTCTGCTGTGGATCCAATTTGTTGAGGACAACTGATATATATTTTGTATTGCTCACTTGCGACACATGGGCCGGAACACGTTCTTTCTCCGGAATATTATATCGATGTGTCATACTCATCTACCAATGAAAACAATACTTTAACAAATACTATGAGAATGTACAAATGAAATCAAATATAACATTCTTGTTAAAATGCAGTGCAAGAAAAATAATTTTTACAATACAATGGTTTGATAAAATATCATATCTAAACTAAGTTGTTTAATTGTTGAAATTAAAACAAACCTGACTTCTGATCTGCAGCTATCATGTAACCATTTTATAGTTGATCACCATTCAAATAGTTCAAAAGTATATATACAATATTCTACAATTTCATTAAGTTAATTGCCTAATTTAGATATGCAAATAAGTCGAAAATACAATATTCTTTAACAAAATAAATAACAACAACATAGCCTTGTATTAAATAAATTTAGAGCCAACTACAACAGACCATACGCAAAATCAAGTATACATGTCGTAAGATTTGACAAAGTTTTCTATCTGTTATCAACCTATCACAGTCTTCCTCCATAAGAAACCATCAATATACAAATGCAACCCTCAACAAGATGCAGAACAAATTTGATGCGAAAATGAAGCCATTTAGTTGCTGATGAGCATTCAAACAGTCTTAAGAGTGTATAATAGCAACACAATCTGTGTCATTTCATCATGTTTATTGCCTAACTCATATGCGAAATATGCCTCAAATGGAGTATTCTTCACTTCGTACTAGTGTTATTTATCATCCAGCAGCATCAAATTTAGTTCACATATAGATTATATCTCAAAAGCAAAAATACAATAACAGGGACAACAGAAAGTACAATCATTTTCCTGATTTCTTTAAACACTTTACCTCTTCAACCTTTTTGACAGTATCTCACATGTACCACTTTTTATCTCAAAGTGTATCAACAGTCAGTATTTGCTCGCCCAATAGAATAGAGACACTCAGTGACCTTGACATTAATTTATGTTAAACTAGCCAAATCTTAGGATTTAGGAAGAGGGGAGACTTGGGGAAGTGAAAAAAATAACGAAATAAAAAAAATAACGAAATAAACTTACTCAATAGCACTGGACTCTGAAGTGTAGTGGGCAAACGGCAACTGGGAAAATAAGAGAGAAATGGACAGACTCGTTGTCGGCAAGTTGGGTCAGAGTGAAGATTGAGAGACTGAGAGTGAGAGTTTAGAGGACTTAGTTTAGGGCTTCTTTTATTTTTTCATTCCCCCGCCTTCATTTTTTTTTTTTTTTTTGTATTCGGGTCGAGTTATATCAGGTTTTTCATTTTTTTACCCATAACTCGACCCGCACCTACTTGACCCATAACCCGACCCACATCGACCCACACCTATCCAACCCAGGCATTTAATGCTGATTGACATTTCTATGTTGATTGACATGAATAGTGATATGGAAATTTTTGAATTCTTGTGTGAAAATAATATTTCTAATAGGGGTATTTTCGTCTACATAATTCGAAAATGGACATTGACAAAATTGTGGACATTTTGGCAAATGACTCGCTGAAAATGGACATTACATGAAATTTCCTCAAAAAAAAATCAGAATATAACCTAAAAAAATATGTCAAATGGTTCTTATAATATTTTTCAGTTTTTATGTTATTTTTGGAATGACTAGCTTAGAAGAGACGAAGTTGGTGCAAAGTATACAGTATACACACGGAACTCTCGAATACTTAATTATTTATAAACTAGTTACTAAAATTTAATATTATTCAAGAATCAACTTCATTCTAACTCCCAATTAACAACATTTCAGAAAGCCTCTTCATTGCAACTAGACAACCTCTTGTGACTAGTGCTTCATCAAAGAATGCTACAAGCATGTGTCCAGCCAAAAGCTCAAGGTGCATTAGCTTCTCTGTTTCAGAATGATATTAGAAGCTTTTCTATGTTCATGGTTATGATTTAAACCGCAAAATTTTTAAAAATCATATTGACCATGCAAAAGAAACTAAAGCGCTTATATTTTCTGTAAACGAACTAAAGCATAAGCTTGTTGATTTTACACCTCCTTTTGTATCATATACGTTAAGGAGATTTTGCATTTAGTAGGTCCTGCAAAACTTTGCTAATTAATATATCTTATTATTGAAGAATTTTCTGTCCCCTGCATTACTAATTGTCAAGGGTGTCAGCTACAAATCTCTTTGCTTATCCAATTCTTCAGTCACCTCTCAAGTAACTTTCCATATAATTGCTACAAGGGAATGTTTGCCTAGACTTTAGTACTCTTAACTTGATTCTTTAGCTATTCATCGCATCATTCAAGCAAGCATATTTCACAACTTCAGAGAGAAATTTACCAATCCAAACAGTCAAATGCTGCAGCGCATATTAATTTAATTAGAAAAAACATCATTTAGTAGAAGTGTTCAGCTGAGAGGAGATATGTTACCTTCAATCCAAAGGACTTAAGATCACATGCTAGTTGTTCCACATTTATTCCCTCACGAGCTAAAAGCCTGCAAGATCGAAAAGCTTTCCTCAAAATGGAGTAGGAAAAAAATATACCCAAGAACTAAATTTAAAGATGCTACTCAAACAACTAAATTGCCACACATTTCAATAGACTGGTCAATTCGATTATGATAAAAGCCTAAGATAAAACATATACAAAAAGCCATCGAATTGGCCTATTTCTTGCGTGTACCAATTGAAGTCTTTCATCGATTTTGTTCGGATCCTCCTTTTCTTCTGAAGTACATGTCCTCAAGTACATCTGCAGAGTAAAAGCATCAAATCAAAATCATAATCAGCTTAAATTTTGCAAAAACAATATGAATATATAAAGTTATATCTAAATTACCTAGTTGCAGCAATAGATTGAGAAGGAGCTTCAGTTCGAGAAGTTTTTGCCTTAAGCTTCTTCGACAATAACTCCAGTTGATCCAAATTCCTCTTATTTCCCACCAAGAAATCATTAAAACATCAAAATAATTCACTTCGACAATTTTTACAAAAGGAGAAAATGATAATAAACCATGACATTCATTTAACGTTAAAAATGATAAAAAGGTAAATTAGATAATGGCAATTTGCTGTATTCTTTTACAATAACTCCTATTGAGAAGGAGCTTCGGTTCTTAGAGTTTTCGCCTTCAGTTCATTGAAAAGGAATATCATCAATCCAAATTCCTCTAATTTCCGACCCTCGAACAAACCGAACTTCGACATTGCTAGTTCCATGGCAAATAACGGAAAAGCAAATTAAAAAAATGGTAATTTGCTTCAGAAATTACAATTTTTTCTTGTTTCATTTCTTCAATTGGTACCTGAAGAGGAGGGAACTGAGCAGCAGGATTGGCTTGTTTGAGAAGCTTCAAAGAGGAATGCAGAAGATCCGACCATCCACTCATTTCTGAATCATTCGCCATTCTTCCACCCGTTTTACAATCGTACGAAAGCAAGGGTATGTATGCATCGATCGTAGAGAAAGAAAGAAGAGAATGATGGTTTAGTGTTATGGAGCTAAAAACCCCTAATTTGAATGGTAAAGTTTTTGACTTTGTTATTGTCTGTGACGCGCAGCCTTTCTGTCTTACAGTACTCCAGCGGCAATTTATTCTTTACTAAGGCAATTTTATCTCGTTGCAGTGATCAGTATCACCTCGGAAGGCAATATCAGATTTATGTGAGTAAAATTATGGCTAAAATCTATTGGGCTTTATAAATTGATTTCGTACTCAAATTGATTGCTGTGAATGATTTAATTTCAACACAATTTGAGTTACTATTATCAGTGCAGTTGCAGGGAAAAGGGCCGAATCACTCCTAAGATTCCGTCCAGCCTTATTTACATTCTCTTCTTTAGCTCCTTGGTGATTTTTTACCCAAAATTCTTGTTTCTTGAGTGTAATCTCCCTTATGCAGCAGCAATTTCTCGGTTGCCCCTCGACTGTAATCGGTGGCCCTGTCCCTGATACTAGGTGTTTGATGAAATGCCTAAATGTTGTTTCTGCGAAATTTGAATTCTTCTCCTAGTATTAGTTCAATTGTGCACTATCTTTAAATTGTTCGTGCAATTTTAACTCAAGTTTCAATTTTTTTTTGTGGGTTCTGTTTATAGTGATTCGGAATTGTATTAAATTCGAGCAATGGAAGATGATGAGAGGGATAGATTGAGGTTTTCTGAAGGAAGAAATGATTGAGATAGTGATTCTGAGGGTTATTTGGAACACCTAGTTGATGATGAACTTTGCTATTCCTCTGGGGACTTCCCCAAGTTGCAATTCAGGTATAATCATTACGAGAGGAATCGTTTAATACTTGCTTGTTTTTTATACATTATATATATATATATATATATAATGTATGTTATGTGTGTGTGTCTATATATATATTATTTTTATTTTTATTTTTATTTTTTCGTAAAGGAAAGATGTGTCAGAGGCACGGTGGATTGAAGAGTTGGGAATGGCCAAGGTGTTGGAGAGAAAGGGTAAAATGTGGACCACAACTGGGATAATTCGTGATGGCAAAATATACTGCTCTATCGAAGAGACTTTGTAGATTACGCAACTTCGCTGTCATTATTACCGGCACTATCGTATTTAAACATTTTGTGCATCTCCTTCTCTCTCTCTCTCTTTGCAAATGTGTTCATGAAACTCCCCCATCTTTGAGAATTTCCAATGGTCGAAATCGCTATTACCATAAAGCTCCCATCTTGGCTAATTTCGGAGATTATGGTAAACTGATTCTGGTTGCTTTCAAAGAGTTCATCAACATTAATAGTATACTAGGAATGTGACATTTCAAGGATATTTTTAGCAGTAAAGAAACAACTTTTACGTTCCCTAATTTAGGAGTCTAATATCTTAGGTTGGTTTCGTAGGTTTCTGGCAGAAATTGGAGCTTTGCATATCTTGAATGGTGATGATACATACCTTACCTTAAAAGACTTCAATGAAAAAGTCGCAAAAGATAGAGGTGGATATGGATGTTCTTGGGAGTCTTTTGAAGTTTATCGCCACTTAAAATCTCTTGGTTATATCGTTGGCCGACATGGTATTCCTTGGACTTACAAGAGTACTAAAACTAATTCCATTGCTGAAAATGGTGCGTCTGAACTTGACGGGACAAGTTGTAACAGGTCAAGACGCGGCATTCTCATTACTGAAATGTTCGATAACTTGCAGTTTAGTGAAGTGAGACCAATGTTCGATGTTTACTTGCCTAACAGCAAGTTTAAGAAGTCTTCTCCCGGCAGTCCATGTTTCCTCCTCTGCCTTTCCAGGTAACTAATGTCCGTGACATCTCTGTAATGATATGGTTTTACATATTCTTAGTTAAGCCAGTTTTTAGTTAATGCATAATCACTGAAATATTATTTTAAGACATTGTTTCTAATGTAGTGACCACCCACCATCCAAACAAGCGATCGAGGACCTCGAAACACGTTACAAAGGCCATCGTATAAAATTTTGTAATGTCGAGCATGGGCGAGTTAGTTTCTTTTCATTCACCAAAGTCGAACTTCCCATCCTTCCATGACCGTCCTCCCATAGGCTCAAGAAACAACTGATTCTTCTATGAAAAGTTTGTGCATGTTTGGTAAGTTGACTGGACAGTATTGAACAATGTCAAAAGCATTAAAATTTTGTTCGATTATCAAATGCAGTTCAATCCAATGCTATGTATTAAACATATAATCTTTTTTTGCTCTTATTATTTTTTTTCCCTGAAGATTGGTTTATTTTTCTTACAGGAGTCCCATTGTATGATACAACATGATGAAGGGAGACACTTCTTCCAATAATACTTTTTGTTGAACTTAAGAATTTTCTTTAAGTTATTTAAAAGGGACCTTTTTTTGACAAATATATTTGGCAAATTGCTTTTTCTCTCTCATTGTTAAGCAAACCATTATTTTTTTAAAAAGTAATTATTACATTTGTATATAAAAAAAAAGTAACTAATTTTGAATTTTAATTAACAAAAAAATTATTTATCTTAAAAAATGTTTTTTCTCTTATTTTATGTAAAATAAATTACTATTCAAAAGTTACTTTGATGTTGGGGAACTAAGTAATTTTTTTTTTTAATATGGTTATTAAAGAAAGTTAATTATTTAAGAACCTATTTACTATCTCAGTCCAACTCACTACTTTGCTATAATCCATCATAATTGATATGAAGAATAAATAATTCAATTTAAATCTATATTTAGATGTATTAATTAAATAGGGAAATTTGCAGCCGAGGTACCAAACCTTTCAAAAATTCGCACTCGAAATTCAAATGGATGGAAACCGTTCATTTGATCGTTAGTTGACCAAGAAAAGTAAATTTTGGCCTATTTTGACCAAATTGGAATGGGTAAAATGGTAACTTGATAATTATAATATTAAATAAATTGAACCAAAAAAAAATCAAAAAATAAAGAAAAAATAAAAAAATTAAGAAAAGAAATTAAAAAAGGTTGTCTTCTTCAACCTCCGCACTCCATGCCACCCCAAGGCCTCCTGCATTTCCTTCAAGGATTCTGCTTGTCGATGCTTCGGATTCATGATTTCCAAGAAGTACATCTACACCATTCATGATGACTGTTTTGTAAGTTCACTATCCCCATTTCTCCATATGTGTATGTTTCTGTGTGTGAGTTGACGCGATGGTGAGTTTGGGTGGATCTGGATTTGGAAAGTCAACATGCCATTAGAATAGAATATTGCTCAACCCATCACCACCTCCCCTAAAGATTTGTGAAACCCCCACATTTGGGAGGGCAAAAAAGAAGAAAAAGAAAAAGGAAAGAAAAAGGTTCTCATTTATTCTTCTTCTAAAGCTTTTCTGATAGCTTTTTGAAATATGGGGAAGAGAAATTGGGATTGAAGGATAGATTTGGAGGGCAAAGAATTGAGTATTTGACAGAGAAATTGTTGTAAATTTCTTGATTTAATTGCTTCTAATGCTGATTCTTTGGATTGAGCATAATGACTCCTTGATGTACCCTATTGCTTTGAACATAATGGCGTGGCGTGGGGTGCGATGGGGAGGGGTGGGGTGCGGCGGTTGAAGAAGACAACCCTTTTTTAATTTTTTGATTTCTTCTTGATTTTTTGATTTTTTTTTATTCAATTTATTTAATATTATAATTATCAAGTTACCATTTTACCCATTTCAATTTGGTCAAAATAGGTCAAAATTTACTTTTCTTGATCAACTAACAGTCAAATGGACGGTTTTCATCCATTTGGACTTCGGGTGCGGATTTTTGAAAGATTTGGTACCTCCAGTGGCACATATGAAAGGTTTGGGCAAAGTCTATTAATAAACGAAAGATTTGATACCTCAGCTGCAATTTTCCCAATTAAATATGATCTGTGATTAAAGAAGGATTAGCTAAGTAGGGATTAGAGAGTAACCTCCATATGAATGGCTTAGCTAATTTACCGGTAAAATTAAACACTTCTTTCTATCCAACTAGACAAATTCCACGCAAGCTGGCATGAAACCCCTGTGACTATCCTAACAGAAAAACCATATCCAATTCCCTTTTTCGATCTTGCACCATTTACGAATCCCGGTTTTTGTTTTACATTAGCTATTAATTTTGAGCTCAAATTCGATTTTGACATGGGAGATGTGTATTGTTCCGATTGCAAGAAGAATACGGAGGTGGTGTTCGACCACTCGGCGGGAGATACAGTGTGTTCTGAGTGCGGCCTGGTGTTGGAGTCACATTCCATTGATGAGACCTCTGAGTGGCGTACCTTCGCTAACGAGTCGGGGGACAATGATCCTGTCCGTGTTGGTGGGCCGACCAATCCGCTTCTCTCAGATGGGGGGTTGTCCACCGTGATTTCTAAGCCGAACGGAACCACAAGGATTTCTTGTCGTCGTCTCTGGATCGCTGGCAGAATCGAGGGTCTAATCCTGATCGGTCACTTATCCTTGCGTTTAAAACGATCGCCACTATGTCGGATAGGTACTGGCTATTCATTGTTTTAAGTTAATTTTGAGATGTCAGGTCTGTAAATGAGGGGAGTTTGATTTTCGAAGACAAGGTTCAGTTTTGATTGTGGTTTCTTTTTATTTTCGCTGGAATTCGTATTATGGATCAGTGTGAAGTGCTGAATAAATTTTGTTCTTTTTTTTTTTTTTTTCGAATTTCTTTTCTTTCTAGTTTTGTGTTTTTGGATCCTCTATTAAGTGGTGATTTAAGGAACATAGGAATGGAGGTTGGAAGCTTACATTTTTTTAAAGGGAAAAGAAAAAAAATGAGATAAAGAAACTTTTTTCCCTCTCTATATTTGATATTATCTCTGTACAACTTCGAATACCTTTTTTCTTCTCTTTCAGTCAAACCAAGCGTTACTGCAGTTGGATTCTGAATAACTTTCCTTTACTTGCTCACTTTTTTCGTCTATTGGTTTGGTTCAAGACCCATGAAGCTAAGAGATTTTACATCAATGCCCGTGTTATTCCGATATTTATAGTAAATTTATGATCTTTAAGTATTCTAAGTAGAAATCTGGAAAATGGTTGAAATAATACATGCACAAATAAGTCAACGCCTGTGCCTTGTGCCCTATATATGGAATGAATCTCATTGATTGTTTAAAGATAAGTAGTTTCTATTAGAATTTGTTGGAGTTTGTTAACTTTGTTTATGGTGTATTAACTATAATATGCTGTTTTTCTTAACTATGAAACTGGAAGCCTCGGGTCGAGGAACTTGTTTGTCATTTTGGGCCTTTTATTTTCTATTCTTTTCCTTTGTTTTGCATTTTTCTTGGTCAAGAAGTTGCATTAAGTGTGCTCTTAACTTTAGCATGATGCAATGCTTGTCATGTTTGTGAGTTCGGTTTTCTTCTGTTGGAAATCTGTTTGTAACAACTTGATTTCTGCTTTTATGCAAATGTTTTCTGGTCATTTCTTACACGTTGTCCTTGAATGACATCTGTTCTTTCTATATTCGAAAATGAGCTGAACTTTTACATCCCTATTCATACCTAACTTGAAAATTATTAGAGAACAGTTATTTTACTTGCTTTGATCATTTTTGTTCAAATGTGAACTTATTCAAGGAATTTCAAGATGTTTGGACTCAACCTATTTCCCTTCAAAATATGAAGTACAGTAGAAATTAAAATCTTCTACTGTGCTGTGAACGTATCTTGCTGTGTTATGGCCTTCTTTATATTGGTTTATTAACTTCCTTCTGTTCCTTATAACTTGACATTAAGATGACAAGACTGTTGTCTGATGTACCCAATGTTCTTTCAGGTTGGGCCTTGTTGCAACAATAAAGGTATCTTATTTACCCATTGTTGACTTTCTAATCATAAGTAATTTTTTTATCGGTTGCTTGAATGAGTGATGGAAATCCTAGTGGAAATAATATTTAGGGCCCGTTTGGTAGGGATTTTGAGAATTGATTTTTTGACCGTTAGAAGAAAAGTGGGGTTCACATGTGAAAGAAGAAGTCAAAAATTACGGCTTGAATAGTAAAATAACGGTCAAAAAATCAAATTTTTGGGGCAAAAAATCCCTACCAAACGGGGCCTTAATTTACTTTCCAAATTAGACACCTGCATTTTAGGAAATGCTAATAGGATATTATTTAATAGATTTTCTAGTATTTTATTAGTTGTTTACTTTCCAAATTGGATACTTATTTCAGTAAACATAATTAACATTTTATTTAATAGATTTTCTTCTACTTAAAGTAGGCTGGTTTATATAAAGTGGGCTTAAGCATTGTAATAGTTAGACTTTGATATAGAATAAACTGATATTTTCTCCCTCTTCTTCTCTGTTTCTCAATTTTGTTCTTGTTCGATTGTGTTCTGCGTCAGTGAGACCAATATTTCAAGCTTGATTAACTTGATGTAATTTATTTTTGGTAGCTTAATTGGATCAATATGCTAAAAGTGGGTCTTATTTTTATTTTACCTGATGGAGACAGGCATGATTGTCTAGTTTTGCGCATTTTTGGTTTAGTTTGGGTTGGGTGTTACAGCTTTTTAGTTTTCTGTCTACTTACCCAGTTTCTGATTTGTGAAAAGTGTAAAAATTTTATGGATCGAGAAGTATGTAGCAATTACTCTGTAGGATGGCTGTGTCAAGAATACTTTATTCGTGACTTGGACTTGCCCAAAAATGTTATCTCGGATCTAGGTAGTGGTCGTTTTAAATGAAAGGTGATTGGTTTATCACGCAGGATGAAGTTAGTCGACTACTTTACAGTAACATCCTAGATAACTTCTCTAATTTCAAGTTGTCATACCATCATGCCTTCA